GTGGTAGGCTCCCTCATCGAACTCCGGGAATCTGCTCGAGGAAGCAGTAAAGCTTGATGAGACATCTGCCAGATCTGGCTTTTTTGCAGTACAAAGGGGGCAGGGGTGGATATTATGCGACCAGGTTCGCATGCCAAACAATGAAACTACTGCCGGCCAATCCCCCTTGAGGTCTAGCAGCGGTAACCTTAGGTCCGAATGAGGATGAACCAGGTCTGCACGGAAGGCTTCTAGGAGCGGGTGCAGGCTGCACCAGCCTTTGCAACCGCACCCACACAAATCACTGTGGCCTTGGTGACTTGGGGGGGGTCTATACAACTCAACTTGCAAAGTGCTTTTAAAGGCTTCTACATTGGACTTTTCGGGGTAAGAACATCTTCATCGGGCTTCCTTATAGGAGGCAAGGGTTGTCAGAACAGTAGATAACATCACTTATGTTCCCGGGGCATTGGGCACACTTATTATTAGACCCTGACACAATACTTGAAAGGATTTGTTTCCAGACGAAACACGTAGAAGCCACAGGAGTTGGGATCGCTTTGTCCGTAGATTGCATACGTAAAAGCCGATGAAATTCTCGTTGACGGAATATTGTACTCCGTCACAATAGATGGATAATGGGACAATGTGCTCTGCTCGGAACCCATCTTTGAAAGCTTGGACTGTAATCGGATGCTCATGGTACTGATCCCCCAGCTCATGGTCACCGGCCAAGGACTTGGCGCATGCTTCGTCCGACATCTCAGGCCCCAGAATTTGCAAGCATGTGAGCTCGTTCCGGATAAGGCTGGATGTTATACGGGTGGGGTGCTCGACAAGTTCTCTACCAATAGACTTTTTTGAATACATGGGAACTTTTACCCACAATACTTCCGGTTCCTCATAGTCCTTGCGAAGATGGCACCTGATTGGGGCCTAGCATTTTTGCGGATCGGCAAGCGGATGTAAACATGGGGTTAGGAATCTGGGATAGAAAAGTATAAGCAAGTTGTCCTACATAGGAATATTGGATTGATCTGGGAAGTGGAAACAACCCTCTACTAAGCCCATGCCATATTTTACTGGGGTCTCTACTTAAATGTGGTTCCATATAGGTTTGGGGTTTCTAGGTAGGCTCCGGCCTGAGATGTTCCGAACCATGCCGCGAAGCTGTTTTCGGATGTAAGGCTAGATCTTCGGTGCCCAAGCCACCAGCTTCGGTGTGCCAGTACGCCAACAGACAAACGTCTGATGCTGAATACGAGCCTTCTGTGTACTTCTCTAGAAGCATATGCCGAAACTTCTTGGCACCTTCTTGAAGTCTCACTTGATCATCCGGATGCCCCCCAAAATTTGTAGGCAATAGGTGAGTGCCCCCTTGACACTCAGCACGCGCCCGCTTGAAACTCATGGCACTATGCTACCCTAGACTCAGCCCTTCCAGCAACATTGCTAGACGAAAGTATATAGACCATTTTTCAGACATGGGTGCTGGGAATATGCTCTTTGATTGCACAGGGAATCCCTGCGCAGGGCACATGATCAAAGTAGCTCTTTCAGCGCAACCTTTTGCGCAGCGGTATTCAGGATACCAGGAGCAGCTCCCCAGAATCAGCAATCATCAGTGGTTGATGAACCAGGTTCCCACCAGCTATAGAGATGTATTGTTAACACCACGTGAACAGAATGGGCCGTCTGCATGTTTCCTCAAACCCTGCCATCCCTCTCAAACCCCAGAACTCCAAATTCAAAACTCTCTTGTGAGCCTAACGGCAAATAGCTATCGTTATGTATCTGCTATTCCCTGACCACGAATGTAGAAATCTCATCCGAGCAGAGTTGTATCCGTGGTATGTTTGCAATCCTGGAGAATTAGAATAAATTCCTGCATAGATAGTTGTAAAGCCCCCCAAGGTCTACGGCCCCAAGAAATCCTAAACCCTCAGGCCTACATTCTAGGATCAAAATTCTACGCCCTAGATGCCCAACCCTTAACCTTCAACCCTAACCCCTGAACCCAACCCCTGCAAACTGGAACCTTCTGATCATCATCCGCTGCCGAGCACTGTTACCCCTAAGCACGCAGCACTTCATGCGAGGCTTTGCCTGCAGTGCACATGCTTCATGCGCCGGCTCCCTCGAGGCTTTTGCTTGAGGCCCGGCGGGCTGGTCCACTCTTTGCTTTACCCTTAGCTTTGGCCTTGGATTTGGGAGCAGATCGCTGATTTAGCGACTCTGCCGTAGTCCGCTTCGCCCGTGCCATGTGCTCCACCTGAAAAGCAGCCTGAGCCATAGACTGGATTTTCGGTCCTAGAACCGTGATGTACTCGACGAGTTTCCCCACATAGTCCTGGCCCAAGGCTTTCTTGACCTTCTGGGTTTCCTTCGGGGAAAGCGCAGCCACCTTGAAATCCTGGAACCAGGGCTTGTCGACATAAATCTTCAAAACCTCGGTGCGCTCTTGTTTGTACAAGTTCACGGCATCACGCGCCCAAAGCCACCACTGTGGCTCCTGGGCCATAGAGGTAGCGATAGAGGACATCGTGTTGTCACTTGACTGCTCGAGCGCTAGCAGTTCCCGAACTTCTTTCTCTTTGACGGAAGCAGTGTTGTCACGCTTAGCCGCCTTGCCCGGCTTGTCATTGCCAGGGTTTCCTGGGGCATCATCTGCTGGCTTCGGCTCTTCGCCCTCTGGGGCGCTGCGCTTCTTGCCTCCAGGTTTTGCTGCACTTCCATCTCCCCCAGGCTTTGGAGCAGCCGAAGGGCACCGGTCATACAAGTCAGCGTACCCCTTGACACCCAAGTCCGTCTTCTCAATCTCAGCCAAGGTTACATCATTGGGCTTCTTCTGCTTGATGGCCGCGAAGGCTCGGATGGCTTTGCACTCCTGGACTTTTTGAGTCCATGATCCCTGCGCAGCCTCCCTAGACTCCACAGTGACTGTGTTCATCCATGTCGTCGTGCAGCTCGTACTCACGAGGGTTTCCACCCAGAAGTAAGTCTCCGTCTTCAACCAGTCATTGTAGAGGACGCAGAAGTCCTTGCATCAACAATGTGCAGGGTGTTTAATAAGTAAGTTCAGGGATAAGGGAGGGCTATCAGGTTCTTATGGGATACACAAACATGGGCCTTTGTTGGAACGCTTGCTTGAGGGACCACAGGTTATTTGTCAAGGGTTACCCAGAGTTTAGGGTGTAGTATCTAAGGCTTAGACTTTAGAATTAGGGGTTGAGGGTTTAGGGTGGAAATTAAAGCCCTATACTGCCCTATGTATACCTTACCGAAATTGCAGTCGGGGCGGAGACACATCTGAATGTAGTTGCCGGCCTGCTGCGTGGCCTCCTCCTTGTCAGAGCCTCCTAGGATGACTTCCAACTGAAGCTTTGTGACAAACCTGCCTATCTCCTCTCGGCGCTTTCTGAAAGCATTCGTGGTCGACCTAGTGGTTGTAGTAAAGTCAAACGACTTTGTTGCAATCCAGGCCCTCCGGAAATCGGCTTTCATGCTGTCCAAGAGCACATTGTATGCCGCCTTCATGTCAGGGCGATACTTGAACTGGCGCCCCATTGCCTGAGCGCCAGGTCCTCTGGCAGAACAGTCAAGCTTGAGGGTTGCCCAGTAGTAAACCCCTTCTTTTGATCGCTGCACCATTCCCTCAGTGACCTCAGCCTTTGGGAGACCTTGATGACAGGCAAAGTTGGTAATGGCAACTTCCATATCAACCTTGGGATCCCCTCCCGCGTGCTTTGCAGTCGTGGGGGGCACTTCTGATGGCACCGCTGCTGAAGCTGGGGCGGCTGAATCTTTGGCGGCTGGCGCTGCCTGCTCTCCTTGATTCTCGGGCATACTAGAATCCTTGGAGGTAGATTCAAAGCTCTCGGTGCTGGAACGGCCTGTCATCACAAGAGTATCTGCATTGGCCAGCATGTCAAAATCCAGGGTAGGTCGACTGTCCGGGGAGTCGGTGGCCATGGCTTTCCAGGGCTTGAGGAATATAAGGCAATCTATACAAGCTAAGGGGTCTGCTTGTGCATCAATACACGAAGAATCATCAGTTCTCGCAGCACGGCAGAGCAGCAGAAATCATCAATGTTTGAACATAACCTTGATTGTTCTTGAATTCTCGGGAGTGGTGCAGAAAACATGCTTCCAAAAGTGAATTTTGAGACCAAAGAGACCTCATCGGAGACCTCATCGCCTGCCCGGGGGAGACCTCATTGTGTTGTTTCCGCTCATAACAGAGAGACCTCATCGCCTCGCACTCGTAGACCTCATCGGGGGGCTCATCGCTTTTGTCATCGGTCCGGGTTTCGGGAGACCTCATTGTGTTGTTTCCCCTCATAACAGAGAGACCTCATCGGCACTTCTACCGGTTGTCATGAAATCGAGCAATTTGGCAAAGTTTGGTGTTTACTCGAACAGCATCGTTGTGGTCTGCGAAACATCAATATTTTGCGAGAACTGCAGACATTGAGTGATTCGCACTGAGTATTATATGGGATGTGCAGCAGTGCTGGCGCTACCTCACCTCGACAGTGGATGCTCCTACTCTATATATATATATAGAGGGGTATCTACTAGAAGGGTTCCAAAAATGGATACATCCGCAGAAATGGGTTCTAGAAATGGATACAATCGAAAGGGTGGGTTCTAAATTTGGATACACACTGTTGGGTTCAGGGCTGTAGGTTATCCTATAACATGTATACAATTACAGTATATACTCTATTATTATAGTTATAAACAGGGTGAACGACCCACCTTCCGCTTGCCATTGCACTGCTGCTTATTAGTGCAAGAAGAATCCCAGGGATGCGTAGTCAAGCTGCGGCAACTCAGCGTGTAGGATTTGGTGTCGTGTGACGGGCTGGTTTTGGCTTGTGCTCATAGCTGTACGGTTTATTGTGAACACAGGCGGATCCCTACATAGCCTTCTTCCTGGATTATCGGGGTACCCCTACACACGACACATCCTACTAGGCCCTATAGGTCTTTATATATATATATATTTATGTATATAGCAATATAATACTGGTATGCAATTCCAGGGTTGAAGTCTAGAAAGGAGTTTGCCATCAGCCTGACCTGCCTATTCAGCACGCTTATGATGCCAAAAGGGCAAGAATCCCTGGCAGCAGAACCCAAACATCAGAACGTAGAGATCTCCAATAGAACTAGAGGCCCGTACATTAGCCCTGGTAACTAGCTGCCCACGGCAAAACATAGCCCACGCTCAAGATTGTAATGCCTCTGCAATAGGCAACCTGCATTTTCGCAACTAGAGGGTACATTATTGACTCATCTGAATGCGGGGCTTTGGGGAATTTCCAAACCCAATCCTGACCTCTTATTACTTGAGCCTGGCAAAACCACAGCCTTCCAACAAAGGCAAGATCGAGCTGACGGAAACCTCTGCTTGGCGTATGCTGCTGCCGAACGGGACAAGAAATGCATTCAGGCTGCAGCAATGGGGCACGTAGGGTTTTGGGTGAAGGGCTGGTTTCTACATGTGCGTGTCTGTAGTTGTATAGGTTCTAATACGAGGCTTATACGTACCCGAGTATACGGTCTCTTCCGGATTATAGTGGGGTACCCCTATATGCGTTCTGATAAATGCACCCAGGGCTAAAGCTTGGGAAGTGGTTTGCCAGCAGCATGATTTGCATAGATCGCGGCAAGTCTTGGCAAAAGCAAAGCTTGCTGGCAGCAGATCCCAGGTATCCAAGCTAAAGGTTTCCAGTACAATTGGAGGGCCATCTAAATTCACTCTGAAGGCCTGCGATTCTAACAAACGTATCCGAGGCTAGTGTCATAATTCACACCACTTGAAGACTACCTCTCATCTGTGACTATGGTCCAGGAATCCTATTGCGCTGGGCTGAGCAACAAACGAACTTCACTTCACCCCCAAGAAAACAGGAGATTAGATTAATTAATAACGCAGCCCTTTAGAGTGTTCTCCGCAATAGCAAAGCTCCCGGAATCTCTATCAGCTGCCAGCTAACACTGCAAAAATCCATAGCAGGCGTGGCTTAGCACTGTGCCTCAGGTCAGAAAAGCAATAGTGAAGTCTCCGTAGCAGCTCACATCCAAATGCAGTAGGGGACATATCCAAGAAGGAAACCATAGACCAAACCGCCCCTAGTTCTGGTACTTTCACAAAAACCTTCGTCTTTTTTTGAACCCCAGACCCCAAGAAGAACAAAGACACCCAAGTAATTCCAAGACCAGCATCTGTGCTTTATGGCTGCTTTGGAGGACAAAACTCGTGGCTGCCAATATGTGAATCATAAGGATGATTTCCTGGAACTCGAGACGATTGACTGGGCCCGAAGGTTTTGCCTGTTTTCCCTTATATGATAGGTTACACGATGATTCACCACAATATGAAGCCACGGACTATTGCCACACCCCTAGCCCTAGCAGGCGGAGAACTCTCTGTCTCAGCCTTTCGGAAAATGAAGCCAAGCGAATACCCTTTACAAAATAACTTTCCAACAGCCAACTATAGGAAGACTATCTCGGACATCTTCTTACCTCGAAGCCCTGATGAATAACCCCATCCTGTTTGTAAAGGAATCATACTGCGGCCAGCTTCAGCTGCATCGCATCACACGAGGACTCGCATGGCACCTGCGATGTGTTTTGGGAAAGGAATCAGGTTTCATCACTGTAGTAATTAGAATGGTGATAGCACAGACTGCAGGATTTGCCCATGCAAAGAGGTATCGGGATTAATTGGACGGGGTCCCTTATATGTATTGGCTTTTGAGATCAGGGCTCAATAAGGTCTTTAATCGTTCCATGGGCGAGTGCCTAGTCAGCATCATCTTCATTACGACCGCCGGGCTCCTCATCGTCATCATCATCCTTCAGGGTGGCCTTGCTCTTGCACATGAGGTCGAGGCCACCTACGCGCGTTGGGGAGTATGGAATTTCGAGTTCACGTATAAGAAAGGGTTGCTCGGGGAAGGGAAGTGAAGCCAGGAGCATGCGTTCCGGTTATTCGAGGAAATCACTCTTCCGGCAAATTAGATTTCAGCTCCCGCCTTCTTCATGAACTTCTTCGTCGTCCTCGCACTCTTCCTCCTCTCCGTTCTCTCCCTCCTCCTGGTCGTCGTCGCCGTCCCGCGGCAACTCTGCGCGCCTTGCCCAGGCCGTCTATAAAGCATCGGGAAAGGGTTTAGGGTCTGGGTTCAAGGTTCAGGGCTTAGGGTTTAGAGGCAAAGTGAAATGCAGAAGGAATGAGCCCCTTCCCAACAACCAATCCTTTTGGGAAACCTGTATATAGTTGATCACCCTGAATGACCTAGACAGCAAGCAGGAAATCCCAAATCCCATAGACCAGCCTTCTAGATTACAGCTAGGGCACTCAGGGCGGGGAGGAAATGGTGGCTGACAAACATCCGAAACGATCTTCCAATCCATGACGGACTTGTTGAAGTCATGGTGTTGCTGACCGTAGCTGATGAGAGCATCGCGACACTCCCGGAAATTCAACATTTCAGGGTTCAGGTTCATATACTGATAACAATTGGCGAATGTAATGGCTACGTTCATAGCAAACCTAGCAGAGACGTCCTCCCGGATAACCACTTGCAGTTTCTGCTTCCACTGGGATGGGCTACTGAGGTCATGACGGTTCACCCTACATTCTACCTTGATGATGGGGTTTCCCTGGCCCTGTTTAGCGTACTTGCAGCGGACCACATCAAGTACATAGTCTTGGACGGGCTTCTCATCTGACTTTTTTTCGAGAAGGTTTGGCTTTTGGGTCCGGCTTGGGAAGTTTCTTCAAGGGTTCCTGGCCAAACTTCTCGAGGTCAGCAGGGATGAGGTTGGGCAGGATCCACACCAAGCCATCGCAAGCAAACTTGACCTTGACATCCTCTCCGTCCTGAAATGGTGGGCCGGACCTTTCCACACCCGCTTTCATCTGGCGGAAAGCAACTCCATGCTCCTCGCTCCACCACATGTCGCCTAGCTTCTTCAGGAAGTCCTCGTTCTTGCCAGGATCGGCAACTGCTTTAGGCTGCGCAGCCTTGCCCTCATCATTCCCGGCGTCGTTCTTGGGCTGCTGGTCCTGCTTCTTCTGGCTGGAATCCCGAGACGCTGGCTTCTTTTTGGCAGGCGGCTGCTGTGCCGGTGGTTCCTCGACTTTTGTTTCCTCGCCACCGTCCTTGCCGTCCTTCTTCTTTTTCTTCTGGGGTTGCTTGTCTTGGTCTTGCTCTTTGGCTTTGCTCTTCTCGGGCACTTGAGATGGCGGGTTCTTGCGCTTGGACTTAGTAGCCCTGGAAGCCCCAGACTCTGTCCCCTTTGGCTTGCCCGGGTTGTCACTTGAGCTTGCCGGTGTAGAAGTCTCTGTCCTGGTAGGAGGGGCCTGCGAGGAAGACAACCGCTGCGGAGGCAAGGGAGTCATCGAGTAACCTCAAGCGTTGGCAGAGAGGTTGAAGCATGGAGGGCCAGGGTTGTTTAGGCTTGAAAGCTAGAAACTTGATGGCTGAGGTTTTCAAGGGTTAGATTTGCTTGTCCGCTCACTGTAAATAATAATGACCAGCCTCAGATTCTGGGAATGTTGAGAATAAGGGAGGTTCCTATACAATGATCCCTGGACCCCACATGAAGTCTTCATCATGGAACCTGGTCCTGACACAATGGCAGTGTAAAGTTCCTGGGTGCCTTGCATATAGCCAAGTGGTTCTGGCGAATAACGCACGGAAGTCCATTTTGATTTTATTTTGAACCCCTGGGGCTTATCTGCAAACACTGGGTTCTTACAAGATTTGGCAAAGTGCGTCTATGAATCCTCAGACATGTCTAGGGCCCTCGGCAAAGATAGCGGTCTTCCCCAATATGTGGCATGTGAGCCAGATCTAGACCTGGGAACTCACAAGAATGTACACAGGACTTAACATCATATACGCTTAGATTTCATTCTTCAAAGGGGGGTACACCCTGGAGCCGAAACCTGA